AACGCCAAGTCTCACGGCAAGCGAGCCGCCGAGTTTGAGGTTCCATCAAGAATGCACCCCTTGCATTCTTTGGTCACAACCCGGGCGGCTAAGCACCTCACTTCCCCCCTACCGTACTCTGATAGTTTACTTGTCATGTATCATGGATCTTTACATTATCTGGAGTATAGAAGATTTCATGTACTTAAGGAGGAGTTAGAATGTTAATAGAAATACAAGTTTACACTTAGTCTTAAACTCCACACCCATATAGATTGTCATAGTCGGAGCCACGAGACATCCGTGAATTCCACAGTCAAAATTTATCATTTAATTCTTACTAACGTGCACAAGAAACCTCGCTTTCCCACAGGTATCTCTTGTAGTTTAGGCCCAATAAATGGCGCATTTGCCTTCGGAAAGTGGGTGAATAGAACTGTTTTTTGACGAGATTCAAAGACGCCAATAAACAACACACCTGTAACTGCAACTCCAGGAGTGCAGGCGACACTATAAATATCGCCATGGTTGGATGGTGCGGTGGTACATCGTCTTGGTCAGCCTACCAAGTAGAGTCTGGATAGCTTGGACACATATCCCAATCGAGACAGCAGATCACTGGTTCAAATCCGGCAAAACACAACCACTTTTCTCGCGGCGCTGGTATGCTTGGATAACCAAAGGTTTTAAAATTCCCTTTGGTGGGTACTTACGGAGGAGGGTCGACTGTTTGTGTAAGCGATCATACCTCATGGTGGTATTTGCGAATGAAATCCAGAGTATGAGTGTCTCTAACGTCAAAAGAGTCATCCCACATGTATACATAGCACCGGTCATGTGTCATAGCTAGATAGCTGAATACACATTAAATGATTTTAACAAAAAAAAAAACTGCTGAGATATCCTACAGCAGCCTCCCCCCACCTTAACCTAAACTATCCCAGTCTACAAGGACTTTTCCCTCGTAAAACATGTAGATATATATTCTCTACTAGATAAACCTATAGTTACTTAGTGCGAGAGCTCGCTTCTATGTAACACAATTGTAAAGTGAGGCGCTAGATAGTATGTTCTAGGCTTCACAGAAATGCTGGGTTCCCAAGAGAGCCAGTACGTCGGGTAGCTTTTTCCTAGGCTGAGCCAACCGGCACGTGATAACTGAAAGCACGTGCTGCGCCCAGGCACGACGTTAAGTAATATGAAAATAAGACCTTTCCCACAACAATGGTCGACACATCACACCTCTTCTGGACCAAAGCTGAACACCTGTCAGTGGTGTCCTCTACGAACCTGGGAGTGAAATGTTCTCTCAGAGCCGAAATTCAGTCACGACAAAGGGTGAATTTGAGAGTTTTCGTCGAGTTGGCGATCGGGAGGAGTGGTGTTGGCTCATTTTTGGTCGAAAATCCCACTTGCAGAAATTTCACGACTGCACAACTCAACGAAATCAATCATCTACACCCCAGATACGAACCGCAGACAGCCTATAACCTGTCTGATGTTCGTATCACAACAACCGACACCTTCAAAATCTTATTTTCTATTTCTCTGGAAAATCATTCCCAGCCAAACTCATCTCACGGCCCTCCCAAGAATCATCTCACCACCTACCAAAGCAATCCCATACCTCCAAAAGCCAAATCGCCAACTAGGAAGCAAGATGATGCCCGACTCTCCGCAACTGCCAGTCGTTGTGAAGGTACGGTCGAATTACCGGCCTTAGATGCGTCCTCACCTTGGCCAAGGGCACCAACAACTCGACCTGCGATGAATTGCCACCGACGAATACGTACGACATTTCGCCGGCACACCAACAGAGTGTTCGACAAAGGCTGGGGCTTCGGTGCTTCGGTCTTGAGCTCTCAGTCGCGTTTTCGACCTTCACGGCTAGGGGTACGGCAGCGACGGAGCAAGGCCGGAGGGGTGGACATTCTACAAAGTTTCTGGGATGACGAGATCGGCTGAAGAACAGAGGGATGCTGCATGAAGGAATCAAAAGGGAATACAAACTGAGGAGGCCTTGGTGGGCGACTGGATGAGGCCTCCAGTGAATAAAAAGAGCCCTGGATGAGATGAGGAGATGCCGAGATGAGCAAAAGCTGCGAATGAATCGAAGGGAAAAGTTACAGATCGCGGGGATGTCAAGGGCTCAGGCGCGTGGTGGCCGAAGCTGAGGAGGAATTTACGCTTCGGCGCGCCAAAAGGGGGTTCTCTGGACGGTTGGGCTTGACATGATTCAACACATGGGTGAAGTCTGAGGTGGTCCGGTCATTTAGGTGGGACGAGGTAGATGTACTTAATGGTAGTTAACCTGATCCAGCCTGGCCCCACCCGTGCTTAAGCTCCAGTAGGAGTGCAACGGGAATCACTTTACCTAGCACGTAAATGAACAAAACAAAACCACACCTCTTCTTAATGCAGTAGCTGGCATTACAACACGTATATCGATCCACAACAGTAATCGAGATCGGTAGGAGTCTAGGAACGTGTTATTTCTAATTTATTATCAAGAGAGGAAGTCAATTAGAATGAGACGTACCTACCCTGTAATAACAAAGTGAGAGATTTCAGTGCAACTCACACACTAAAATGTACCACGTTAGTTTAACAATAGTTTACAATTTTGCCACTTTCTTACTTGATCTTTCAACTCCGATCCAAATCCCTTTTAAATGATAAGTCGCAAGAGTCCAACAAATATTATCGGACTTCTTTAACTACTACCAATTTTGCATGTCGATGAATCAGCAAATAGTTAGTTTGAAGTACCAGATTTTAGCTTTGTGCTACTTCGAAATTGTTAAAAGTGAAGGAGTAGAATGGAATTTTATCCTTGAGTTCACTGTTGAGGACGTTTTTATTACCAATTCTGGCGTGGAATGTGAAGCAGGTTTGATAGTTGATGTTCCAGTGAACGTCATTTTGAATAGTGCTGCTATAGTAGATGCTAAATTAAGTGCGATTGTTTAAGGAAGTCATGAAAAGCAAATAAGTTAAATGTCTCCGGGCTGCATCGCAATATCCTTGATTGATTGATGGATTTAAATTCAAGTCTCTATTGAGTCCTAGACTATGAAAGACTACTTAAAGATCTACCTAAATATCTCTTCGATTAATAGGTTAATTTCTCATTTGAATATTACAACTATATGCCAGTTGATCCTGAGGGTCATGCCCTAAGCAATATCCTTGATGACTGATAGCGTTATTTCCTTTGTAGATCCTAGCTGAGATTGCCCTTTACTTTTGATTTGGATTAAAAATTGACTTCTCCATCTCAATTGACTTGCATTCAATATTGTGAATGCTTCATATCCTTGGGTTCACAATTTTTTTGCGCCATAGTCGACTGATCATTGTGTATCAAGTTTATCTTGATAACCTTCAGCGGTAGAAACTATGAGTGTGATGACTTAATGGATGACAACCTTACATTCATATGTGAATAGCGTAATCTAACTTTATTTGAATAAGTTCCTTTAGCATTATACTTTTAAAATTTCTGCCTCTACACTTGGGCAAGAAAAATAAGAGTAAGGATCATCACTCATTAGGATTTCTAACATAAGGGATCAATAATTTGTTGGTGTCCGCTTCTCGTGGGAACTAGATTTGCAGGCACTACTTCTTGGACTCGAATCTGGTACCTGCTCATACTCCATCGATATTTATCCGTCTTTGACTTTGGATGTTTCCGACTGCCTGCATATGCACGGATTATTTAAATCCACCAATAAGCCAGGCGAAATAGAGCCAACTCGTGCTAGACTGGCTCCAAGGATTTCCTGTTTCGAGAAGTTTTGGTTACAAGCCTCAGCAGAGTCTACCTGGGAGATTTAATTGGGCGATACTCCATAAGACCATCTGGCCATAAATTGAAGTGCCATTCAAATCAATCTCGACATATCTGACGTGACCTGATAGTTAAGTTGGGACGAGGATTTCTTAAATTTAGTGGCTAACCCTGGTCTTTTACGGAAATATCTGTGTTTTGTTCCCAAGGAGCTGACAGAATTCAAATTATCACATAATAGACAAAGAAGGAGAATGATTGTACCCTTACGTACAAGGATAGCTAGATCTTTAAGAAATCAACTCTGAACATAGCCGCGTTTGAAACTCGCAGTTTCTACTAGCGCGAAGTCGCGCCTACTACTCTGAAAAAATGTAGTACCAATTTATAAATTCTCTTACAGCCAAATTTTCCAACCCTAGCTTCCAATTGTTCAAATTTTACGTTTAGCAGGCGTAAACTTATCGTGGCAGTGGGTGTTCGATTATTTTTGGTAAGTCCTACTTTGTTTAGCTGGAGATGAAGTATGTAAGGCTTGATCGGCTACTGTCGATACGAACTGGCACCCTGTTAGCGGACAATTATTTTCGCAAAGTGCTGCAAGATGAAATAACCAGCTCCGATTAGGTTGTTACACGACCGAGGTACTAATAAATTTCCTATTGCACGCAAATTTATCAGACAACCTGGGTGCGGGGTGAGCATATGCTACATCTAATTATTTTCTTCTCAGTTCTGTGCCACCAACAATATCGGTTTAAACCAGCTGATAAAACATTTTAAAATTGACATTACATGTCAGACCCAACAGTGAACAGGTCAGATTCGGATCCTCTGCGAATCACTTGTTGGCCTTTCACCTGTGCTCCAATGTATGACTCTTACTGACAACGCTAATCTTCCGCAGTAACCAAATTTTCAAGTAGTTTAATGGGGTATGGTTCCCCTCGTCTTATGCTTCAATCTAAACATGAGAAAAAATTTGAGATTATAGAACTCGCTGTTACAATATAGTCAAATAGAGACACAGTAGCTAAACTCCAGACTGAGATAGGTATTTTTGAGCCATAGAGTGTCTTGCAGTCTCTCTCCACACTAAGAGGTGTAAGTGAAGTTTGAAAACGAGGTCTCGATCTAGTCTCACAACCTTGGTAGAACTCTGACTTAAATGAGATTAAGCATCTTTTTTGACCTCAGCTCAGTTTTAAAGCGCTGATTCATTCAGTGGATGATTCATAATCAAAAGATGTCTTCTGATCACAAACCAGAGGCATCTACTACTTCAACCATAATTGCTAGAAGCGAAGAGGCCCTCATTTCCGAACTAAGTGCTCAGCCAGCAACGGATTTACGAGACCGAACTCGCCTAAATAGCGCATCTTTTACTACCAAAACTGATGAGAGTTGCGCCACAGAAAGTTCCGGACTTATTTCATCCGAACACAAGCAGGATAACTCTGAAGATTCGGAAGATGATAATAAGCAAGAAAAGTCAAAAACTGTACCTGAGTCATTAAAAGTAGCCGAGCGTAAACGTAGACAAAATGCTGTTGCCGCCGAATATATAAAAAATATCAATAAGAAATTAGTAAAAGAAGCAAACAAGACACAACCTGGGGACGATGCAAATCAATCTACCAAGTGGCTGGTTAATCAATCAGAAAATCGAAAGATTATCTCCACTCCACGCGAGTACCAAGTCGAATTATTTAACCGAGCCAAGCAGAAGAATATCATAGCTGTCCTAGACACTGGTTAGTTCTAGAGATATTTGATTTGATCACTTAACTAACAATCTCTTTTAACTAGGTTCTGGAAAAACGTTAATTGCAGTTCTGTTATTGCGCCACATCATTTCCCAAGAGCTGGAAGACCGAGCGCTTGGTAAGAATAGAAGAATCTCTTTCTTTCTTGTAGGTGAAATTCTTAACCCTGTTCCCGGCATATATTTAAAGATTGTAGGTCGACTCGGTTCAATTAGTATTTCAGCAGCATGCCGTTTTAAAAGCCAATTTGAACTCGCCAATGGCAATGTTTTGTGGTGATATGGGATGTGACCTATGGAGCAAAGAGCTTTGGGAAAATCACTTCCAAGAAAATGAAATAATTGTTTGTACGGCTGAAATTCTACGACAGTGTCTTCACCACTCTTTTATTAGAATACAAGACATCAATCTCCTTATTTTTGATGAAGCTCACCATGCCAAAAAAGATCATGCCTACGCACGTATAATCAAAGACTTTTTTGCCACACAACAAGCAGATAGTTGTTTACCTAGAATATTTGGCATGACTGCATCCCCAGTCGATGCCCGAGTAGACGTAAGAAAGGCAGCCTCTGAACTAGAGACTATCCTTCACTGTCAAATCGCTACTATTGATGATGAAAACTTGTTACAACTTTCACATAAAAATAATGGAAAGACTGAACAGCTAGCTAGATATGCTTCTCTAGCTCCAAGATTTAAAACACCATTATATCAGCAGATGTATGATTGTTTTTTTAAAAATAAAATACTGATTAAACCCCTTCTCTTTTCTTATCAAGCTTCAAGTGAATTAGGGGCTTGGTGTTCAGATCAAATATGGCTATTTTGCTTATCTGACAATGAAACTAAGAAGCTTCTGGCAAAAGCTGAGTGTCAAGGAGGTCAACAGAATTTTGAGCCTGAACTGGAAGTTATCGAAAAAACTGTATCTCAGATCCAAAACGCTAAGGAAATTATCCAAAATCATATATTTAATCCTCCTGACTATTCCGACAGTCAAAGTTGGTCCAATAATCTATCATCGAAAGTGGTGCTCCTCATCAGATATTTAAGGGAGCGGTTTGAACGGGAAACTACAGACAAGTGTATTATATTTGTAAAACAGCGCTATACAGCCCGAGTTCTCACTAGATTACTCGAACAAGAAAGGATTAAAACAAAATGGTTAAGGGTAGGCGCACTTGTCGGTACCCGAAGTGGAGAAGCCGGCGATCTTAATACATCCTTCAGGGACCAAGTTATCACTATGATGCAATTTCGAAAGGGTAAATTAAATTGTCTGATTGCAACCTCTGTCGCAGAAGAAGGTCTCGATGTTCCTGATTGTAATTTGGTCATTCGATTTGATCTTTACTCTACTCTCATTCAACATATTCAATCTCGTGGTAGAGCGCGGCACGCAAATTCTAATTATCTACATTTTTGTGAAGCGGGAAATCAAGATCATTCTCGCATTATCATGGAGGTACGAAAAAACGAGAGTATCTTGAGGGATTTCTGTAGAATGCTACCGGAGGATAGGAAACTCACAGGTAATGATATAACTATCGATGATATTTTGGCAAAGGAAAAGTATAATCGCGTCATCAAAATTCCTGAGACAGGAGCTCAACTTAACTATAAGATGAGTCTCGTGGTGTTGGCAAATTTTGTCGACAGGCTGCCTAACGCCGCTGATGGAAACCTTCAGGTCGAATATGTGATGATAAGTACGCTTAAGAAATTTCAATGCGAAGCCATTCTACCTGAATCATCCCCAGTAAGAGGCGCAATTGGTGAATGGTGCTCAACCAAACAGGTTGCTAAATGCTCAGCAGCATTTGAAACATGCTTGAAGCTGCTAGAGGGCAAATACTTGGATAATTGGCTGATTCCTACCTTCTCAAGAAAAATTCTGCCTGCTATGCGGAACGCTAAACTAGCTTTGGATTCAAAGAAAAGATCAGCATATACAATGCGAACTAAACCTGAATTATGGTCTATTACAAGCACAACTCCAGAATTTTACGTTAATGTATTGGTGTTAGAACAGCCCGAATCGGTAGGCAGGAGAACACAGCCCTTGGCACTCTTAACGAGATCTCACATGCCTCATCTTCCCTCATTTATGCTCCATTTCGGTGGCGGCTGTAACTCTCTAGCTCACTGTATTTCACTTGGTGCCATCAAGCTTGACGCAGATATGATTGAACAGATCAACACCTTTACTCTCTGTATTTTTAATGATGTTTTCAGCAAGTGCTATGAATCGGACTCCAGTAAAATGCCATATTTCTTAGTTCCCGCTAAAGACAGTTTTACTTTCAGAGATCATAACATTGATCCGTTCCAAGTAGTAGACTGGGAAGCCGTGACGAAGATGGCTGAATACCAGATAAAATGGAGCAAAGATCAGTGGGGTGATAAGTCTTGGATGACAGAAAAAGATGAGTTTCTGGCTGATAGGTTTATAATTGATCCATATGACGGCTCTCGGAAACTTTATTCCATTGGTGTCACCAAAGATTATAAACCTCTTGATCCCGTCCCACCCAATACCGCCCCGAGAAGTGGAGCGAGAAAAAACAATGACAACATCATGGAATATAGCTGCAGTCTATGGGCAAAGGCAAGGGCTCAGCGAGAGTTTGATGTAAACCAACGTGTAGTTGAGGCTGAATATATTTCTCTACGTCGTAACCTTCTTGATCAATTCGATGTCCTTGAAGATCACACTCCAAAGCAATGCTTTATAATCCTAGAACCGCTAAAAATCTCCCAGGTAAGATACATTATTATATTTGCTATTGTTTTGACAATTCTAGCTATCCACTAAAGTTGTCGCAATGGCATACATCTTCCCGGCTATAATTCACCGTATTGAGTCTTACTTGATTGCGCTGGAAGCTTGTGAGCTACTTCATCTTGAACTTAGACCTGAATTAGCACTCGAAGCAGTCACCAAAGATTCAGATAATTCTGGACAAGATGATGAAACTCAAATTAACTTCCAACGCGGAATGGGGAACAATTATGAGCGACTAGAGTTTCTGGGCGACTGTTTCTTAAAAATGGCAACATCCATTTCTCTTTACGGGCTTCAACCAGAAAATAATGAGTTCGCATACCATGTGGATCGCATGTTGCTGACCTCCAATAAAAACTTAAAGGACAATGCCTTGAAACTAAAATTATATGAGTTTATTCGCTCTCAGAGCTTTAACCGACGCGCTTGGTATCCAGAGGGCTTAGTATTACTGAAAGGCAAGACAGCAAAAGCACCGAAAAGTCACGATCTTGCTGACAAAACGATTGCTGATGTTTGCGAAGCTCTGATTGGAGCTGCGTTGCTTAGCTACCATGAGACCAAAAACATGGATATGGCTGTAAGAGCCGTGACCGAACTTGTCTGTAGCGATCATCATAGAGCTACATCATTTTCTGACTACTACAAACTATACGTTAAACCTAAATACCAAATTCAACCATCCACTCAGTCACAGCTCCTTTTAGCATCTGACACAGAGAAACAGCACCCCTATAAATTTCGGTATCCTCGTCTACTCTGCTCTGCGTTCACACATTCTTCATTTCCACGTTCGTTTAACGGGAAGGTACCTAGCTATCAACGCCTAGAATTTTTGGGCGATGCTCTCCTAGATATGGCTTGTATCAACTACCTTTTCCATAATTTTCCCAACAAAGATCCGCAATGGCTTACGGAGCACAAAATGGCCATGGTCTCTAATATGTTTCTAGGTGCACTCTGCGTTCATCTCGGCTTTCATAGACATCTCTTAGTATTCAATAGTACATTTATGCAACAAATTGGGGACTATATTGTTGAAGTCACAGAGGCTCGACTGCAGTCAGAGAAGGAGGCAACTGATGCGGGCAAATCTCCGGATGATTGCTCGCCTGATTACTGGATCTCTGTACGCCAACCACCTAAATGTCTACCAGATATAGTCGAGGCATATATTGGCGCAATTTTTGTTGACTCCGAGTACGATTATGCAGAGGTGGAAAAGTTTTTTGACGCACACATTGTATGGTTTTTCCGTGACATGAGTGTCTACGACACATTTGCCAATAATCATCCGACGACTTTTTTGTCAAACTTTCTAGAAGTAAGCATGGGATGCCATGCATGGTCAATGAAGGTTGGCGACATACCAAATGACGATGGTGGTAAAGGCTCAATTGTGGTAATGGTCATCATACACGGCACGGTTATTGCTCATGCCAGGGCCGAGAGCTCAAGATACGCGAAAATTAATGCGGCGAAGAGTGCCATGGAGATACTTGATGGAATTGGGCTGGGAGAATTTAGAATGAAATACGAATGCGATTGTAAGCCCATCTTTACCGGGTCCGAAAAATTGAGAGAGGAAGATTTGAAAGGATAGAGGGAGAGCTAAATAAAGGAAATCAGAATTACGATAATTAGAATACAGACTACGTAGATTGAGCAGGGAATAATTCCCTGGATCAAGTATTTGACCTGATAATATTCACTAAAGGACTTGGAAAATATAGGAAATAAATTAATATTTTTAAAACTGTGTTGAACCTACTGATATATCATTACATGGGCTTGGTCAAAGGCTCGAGCTACACCCCACGCAATATTTAATCCGCATCTCCGGATTGAGAGCTTCCATATACCACTCCAATGACAGCTGCAGATAGAGAAGGAAATATCTCTACATGTCAAGATAAATCCAAGTTAGATGCCACTCGCTTCGGATTAGAATGAGCTTTAGATCTAATAGTGCCCTTGTCAACTCTACAGTTTTTTCGCCGGGCTCGTTGTTAATGGGAGACCACAGGGCGAATTCAGGATAAATTTAGGTAACTAATGAGATCTGAAAATGCCTTTCGTACTGCCGTTTTTACCCAAGAAATTCTAATTATTGACGCCGACCATAATCTGTGGCTCATTAATTATTTAAAATATTTGAATTTTGAATTTGAATTTGAATTCAATTAACCCGATCAGGCACCCTATGGGTCCATGCAGGTGACTATCTGCATTATTTACAAAGGAGGAAACCAATTCGGTGAAAACCCCCTGATCCTGTCTGTTTATATTCCTATCAATTTATTTAGTTTACCTTCAGGAAGTGCAGTGTACACTATTCAGACCGTGTGGATTCCGTCCTCTCCCCTTCCAGATCTATTTACTTGATCCGATATTGCTACCTCGACTTCTCCTGCAAGTCGAAACTGTTTTATCCACCCTTTGTTTAGTATCCACTGTGTAATTCTGGCCATGTCTTCTGGGCTGTTCATCATTGCTTCAAATGACCTGTCTTTAGCTTTTCGGAGGAAGTCGCCTCTTCCATTTGCCCACTGCGGACACGCCAACACCATAAGCTTGACAATTTGCGACGGATATCCACATTGACAGCTTGGCTTTTCTACTCCGGGTACTTTTCTTCTGCTCAGGTAAGAATTGAGTCCGATATGTTCGCTTCTTAGCTGAATGGCGACACTGCTTTGGGCCCTGGTTAGGTTACGGTGGATTCTTAAGGGGGTATCTTTGAAATTCATTTTGAGGCTGCCTGTTTGTTCATCAGTAAATATATTTGCCGCTTTCCAATATTCTGGATCGGTTGATGCTAGTCGGCCAGGGCGCTGTTTCCTGATCTGGTTTGTCCATGAATCCTTTCACTCCTGAAAGACCGCTATCTTTCCAGCTTCTTTCTGCCTCCCCTTGTCCTTTTCCCTTCCGCAAGTTCTTATCCATTCGGCGATATCTTTACTCTTGGTCAATGCATGCGGAGTTTCTCTCCCGTTTGCGGGCAGCTTTATCCTCCTACATGTCGATCGGATTGTCTCTTGAACTGGGAGTTTAGCTGATAGTCCGGCGTGCTGGACCCTCTTTTGTTTCAGGTATATCTCTATAGGGAGGACAGACTATTCGTGCTCTAGCACTCTGCTGCTAGTAGAATTGTAGGCACCTGCAACAAGCTTTAAGCATTTTCTTTGAATACTTCTGAGGTGTTTCACTATTCTTCCAGGTATCTTTCCTGCTGGCCCGGCCTTGGCCCATATCGAGGACCCATACGTAAGGTCCAGTCTCACTATCGAGCTGTATAGCAGTTTGGACTTCACAAATGTCGCTCCCCAAGTTGATTGTGTCAGTCGTCTAATTGCTTGCACTTGAGTGCACGATTTTTGCTGGATATTCTTTATGTGGGCCCCTCAGTGGAGTTTGGGGTCGAAGAAGACTCCGAGAGCTCGAAGAGAGGACTGCGGTGATGTTAGGTGTCCTTGTATACTCACGGTGGCTTTTAGGTTGCGTCTATTCCTTGCTCGTGTGAAATGCAGCAATTGGTACTTCTCCGGTGCAAATTTTACTCCGTGTTTCTTTGCCCACTCCTCGCATATGCTGTGCTTTTCCTCTAACATTTGGCAGTTTTCTTCAGTAGAGCTTGGCCACGTCAGTATAATAGTGTCGTCTACAAATCCTACCACTGAGATAGAGGGAGTTTGAAGCAGTGGTGAGAGGGTGCTGACAAAAACCAGGAATAGAATCGGAGACAGAGCTGATCCCTGTATTAGTAGAGATTTGGTCCCCTTTGTATGACCCAAGGACTACAGAAGTCGTTCTATCCTCTAGAAAGGATTTTATAAAGTTAATAATCCATCTTAGGATGCCCTTTTCCTTTAGGTTATGGATAAGTCTTTCATGAGAGACATTATCAAATGCTCCTGAGATATCTAGACTAAGGAGTGATGCAACTTGCTTTTTGTCTTTACCCCATATAGTGTGGATCTGTTCTGTAAGCAGCTATATTGCCGAGATAGTGCTTCTCTTAGATCGTGCCCCAATTTGCTCGTCCGTAAGCAGGTTATAGTCTTCGGCGGCCTTAGATATGCGATTGGCCACTAACTTCTCGAGAAGCTTTCCCATTATATTGAGAAGCGCTATTGGACGATAAGACTTTGGAGTGTCATTTCTCGGCTTTTGTGGCTTTCTGAGAACTATAGTTGTCGATTCTTTGAGACTCTTTGGGTGGTACCCCAGGCAAATGCATGCATTGAATAGCTCTGTGAGGTCTTTACTGAGAGTTTTCCTACATTTTTTGAGTCGATTTGGTATGCCATCTGGACCTGGAGCCTTGTCGCTTAGAAGCTTTCCGAGAATTCCTTCGACCTCTGCCTGGTTAATAATGTTAGAGATACCGTCCAGCTCTCTAGGATAGATGATCTCCGGAATATCTGCTATATCTGCAGCCACAGGCTGAGGAAAAAAGTGCGCTGCCATAGCTCTCGCCATATCGGGAGGATCGGTATGGATGATTCCTGCTGTGTCTTTTATCTCTGAAATTTGGGGTAGCCTCTGTCTTTCATCTGGATATTTTCTTGCTCGCTTAGCAAGTTTCCATATCTTTGTTGGGTCCCGGGAAGCCTCAGATACTGCTGCCCTCCATCCAATTATTTTTGCTTTTCTTATTTGAGCCTTTTTCAACCTGATGGCTTTTTGGTACTCAATCCAGCTTTTCTCAGTTCTTCGATATTTCCACTCTCTTCTGGATTTTCGTGTATCTTTTACCGCTTCTGAGCATTGGGTCGTCCAATAGGGATTAGCAAATTTCGAGAGTTTGGCAATAGGTATAACTTCTCTAGTTATCTTCTGGATAGCCTCGGTGATGGACGCTACCCTCTTGTCGATGGTTTGTCGGGAGTTGAGATCCAAGACGTCTGTTCTTAACTCGCTTAGCTGGACTGCCAATCTTTCATTAACTTTTTCCCAGTCTGCCTTTTTCCATTGGGGACGTGGATCTAGTTTTTCGTTTACTTGTGGCTGGATTGAAATTTGCGTAGATATAGGAATGTGGTCGGAGGATGCTTCAAGATTGCTATCTGGTTGGCAGGTTATGACTTCCTCTTCAAGCTCTTTCGATAGGAAGACGAGATCAAGCGTACTCTGGCTTCCCCTTTTATTCCATGTGATGGTCCCCTCTGGAAGAACAAACTCCATATCGTTATCTTCCAGTATTTCCATCAAGTCTTCAGCTAGCTTATGATGACTTAGAACTGATTGCCCCCCCCATCTAGGGTAGTGTAGATTGAAGTCTCTCACAAGGATATGTTGGCCTTTTTTACAGAGAAGTTCTAGGAGATATTTTAGGGTCCCTAGTTCTGTGCTACTGTGTGATACGGGAGGAGGGTTGTATATATTAGTAACGTATATTTTACCTTTATTGGTCTGCATGCTGATGGAGGTTATATCTCCATCCGCCTCTACTGGGATTTTTTCCTTTCCCCAGTTTGTGACTGCGATATGTTTACTTATATATATACATGTTCTACCTTTGCGGCTATCTAGGAATATCAGATGGTAGGCTAGGTGTTTAATTGTGGTATTCTCTGTTGGATGACTACATGGCTCTTGTATAGGCACTACGTGGTGCTTTAGTGGGTCTAGTGCTTGCAGGAAGTGGTGTTGTACCATATTTTTGCTTTTATTGACGTTATACTGTGTTATGTTTAATATATTTGCACCTTTCATTGATCCATTACGCAGTCTGGTGCCCCGTTAGTCTCTTTAGGGTTCTCCCGTGTCACAGTCCGAGTTGTATTTTGGGTGAAAGACGTCAGCGCACCGGGTGGGGAAATCAATTGGGCCCAGGATCCTGAGATATCGGGGGCCGAGGGGCCTGGAGTCTTGCGTGGCCTTCCAGGACCTCAGCGGGTGCTAGTTGCACCAACTGGACTGATTATTTCCACAACTGATGTACCGGCTCGCCTTTTCCTGGAGCCTGCCGATTGCCACTCATCTTGAAGGTCTTTTAGTGATACCGCTACCTGTTGATATCTCCCCGAATCACAAGTCCTATTTATTTCGGCCTTAGACTTTGCCGCTAGTTTAGTTGGACAGCTTTGGTCCCATGCTGGATGTTTTCTCCCACAGTTACAGCACCTAGTATCCTGTTTACCATGGCATTCTCGGGTATTGTGTCCTCCTGCACATCAACCACACTTGAATTCAGCTGTGTAGGTCTTAGCAGTATGGCCGAACTTCTGAAAGTTAAAGCACTGCATTGCCCGGAATCCTGAACGGAATATCTCCGTGGCTTTGACTTCATATTGCCAGACCATACCTTTAGCAATAGCTTTATCTGCATAATCTGCTTGTGAAAACCATAATATCAACGATCCTGCAGTTTTCCCCAGTTGATTTGATTTCTTGAGCCATGTGGCTTCAAGTATCTTGACCCCCTCGATATATGTTTCATTTGCCCCTTGTAGTGCCGCGATATTTTCGGGGTTCTCTAGCTTGAATGAGAGTAGCATTCTGTGAATCAGTACCTGGTAAATGGGACATGCTATGTGAGCTGTAGTGGCCAGCTTTTGTGTCCAGTCTCGGTTTTTTCCCATCCTATCTTTTATTGCC